AGATTTTAGTTTCTAAATGTAAGTTAGTATCCTAATTATTTTTAGGAGTTGAAATTAAAATCTTATACTATTAGATATTAATATTTAAATTTAAAAACTCATTATATATTTTAATATAATTAACTTTCAAATTTAAATCTTAGTATTTAATAAAATAATTTTTAAATTTTAAATTAAGTTTTAATTAAATAAAACGAAATAATTTAAGTTTAAGATTTCAATTATTTTTGGAAGTCAAAACTTATATGTATTTTTTCTTTATAATATTATGTGATATTATAATTTAGTGCATCGTTATTTAATTTATTTTTATTTAAAAGTTTTTATAATACCATATATATTTAATATTTATTATATAAAATTAGTGTATATCAGTCATGATTTTTTTAAAAAAATTGAGAATCTCAACTTTTATTTAGAAATTAAAATTTCAATACAAAATTTAAAAATTTACCTTATTAAATGTTGGTACTTAGATTTGAAAATTAATTGTATATTATAATAAAATCACTTTCTAAATCTACATATTAATATTTAATAAGATAAATTTTTAAATTTTAAATTGAGTTTTAATTAGATAAAATAAGATATTTGCTTTAAATTTAAAACTTTAATTTATTTTAAAAATTAAAACTGATATGTAATTTTTTTATCATATTTATTTAATATTATATATCATATAATTATAAATTTATTATTTTAAGTGATATTATTTTTTATATTAAACTTTCAAATTTTAAATTTATATTAGCATCAATTAATTTAAAATTAAATCACAATGAATCATATAAAAAAGTTTTAGTATTTATTGCTGTATTTATTAAATTTAAATTTAAAATTTTATTTAAATAATATTATTATCTAAATATATAACTTTATTTTATTTAGACATTATTTAAATCAAAAAATTAAATGATGAAATAACTCAAAATTCCTGCTCAAGTGTCAAATCGCTTGTCATATAAGCATGACATGGCAATATTTTGCCATCCAAGCAGCCAAGCGGGTGTGTCCCCAAACGGCAGTTAAGCCCGACGACGGAGTCCCAAATTCGACAGTTAAGTT